ATTGTTTATTTAATCTCATTTAATAATAACCGTTAGATTAGAAAATGAACGATTAAGATGGGTTAGCATAGTTTGCACAAAATATTGGGTTAATATTTGAACCAGCCCCTATATATATATATATATATATATATATATATAGGTGAAGCATGTTGACTAGTTACTAGTGTATATGAATGGTGGAATAAAAAAGTAATGGAAATTGAAATTGACCCAAAAATTGGAATATTTATTCATGGACATGATTTTTTTAAAGAAAAAGTAAGAATAAAAATGAATATATGTATAAAGTAGAAGCATGTAGAGGATGGACCATGCATATCATGATGAATAATAAGTTTGCAAGAATGAAGTAGGGGATGTGGTGTATAAGCAAGCACCATCACCACCCCACTCAACAATACTTCAAAGCATGAAATTCCCAACACACAAATCATCCCTACCTTTTCTTTATTCCACCAATTGTTTTTACAATCTTTATACATTAAAAAAAAAAACATTTGGTCTAGCGGTATGTAAGTCTTTGTTCTTTTAGGAGATCAATGGTTCAAACCTCATCAAAAGTAAAGAGGTGTGCAAGTTTATTTGTTCTATTTGTAAGTTTAAATGTAAGAAGTTTCTATTTTCCCATTATATCCTTAATTATGAGATGAATAAAGTTTCTTTTTATTCTCTCTTGATAACAACCTCTCTCCCTCAATATCGGGCGAGGGTAGGGTGTGCAAAACCCGAATTACCCGAAACCCGAACCAAAAAATAAGGTATTTATGTAAAACCTGAATGACCTGAAATTTGAAAATCCATAAACCGACATTTTGGGGAAAATTTAGGTTCGGTTTCACTTGATTTTTGGCCACCCGATTTGTTCGAAAACCCGAAATATATATACATATGTATTTTAAATATACTATATTAATATACTAATTTATCCAATTATTTTTTGAAAATTCAAAAAATCTTAGTCGGTCTTGTTTTGTTTTCTTTCTAATTTCTAAGTTTACTATCAATTTATCATATCTCTAAATCGATTAAATTCATCGTCAACATTGATTGGATATATATATATATATATATATATTATTGCATTATAACTAAACCTGAACCCCGCCGACCTCAACCCGAACCCGAAACAATCCAAAATCATAATCAAAAAATTGGGGCTTGATTTCCATATCCAAATCCGCTCGGGTTTTTGATTTTCCCACTCGAACTCGCCCGTCCTGCCAGATGCACACCCCTCCTAGGCAAGGGAATCTCCCTAACAGTCAACAACACCACCCCTTTCATCTAAAAAGATAAAACATTATATTTAAAAAAATGTAATAATTACACATTTCTAAAATTGTATACTATTTTTGTTATGAATATTTATTTTAAACAGAACGGCTAATAAAATGTAGCGTTTGATTTATAAATTATGTTATTACTATATTTGTACGGAAGGAGAGTGATTTGTGATTTAAAATAACGTACGAAAATCAAAATAAATATCACGAACACCATTTGTAATCATGACCTGAACCTGAAATATAAATCTCATTTAAAAATACCATTCGGCGGAAAAAGGGAAAAAAAAAGAAGACGACGAGTAAAGCAATCTCTCTCTTTCTCTTTCTATATATATATATATATATGTGTGTGTGTGTGTGTGTGTGTGTGTAATAAAGAGAGGTAGGGAAGGACTGAAACATAGAGAGACAAAAGATCATTGCGACAAATTCTAAAGGAATTCGTCTCTGGTGGAGCGCCGGCGCCTTTCCTCTGGATTCGTGATTCGAAAGGAAAACCTCATCTGATCGCTCGCCCGCCGGAAACGAAAGTTCAGCAATTACTGTTTCAAATAATCGACTCGATATTCCGTTTCGTTTTCGTTACAGGACTCAGGTAATTTGTTTGATTTCTCTTCACTTTCAACTAACAAAGCTGTTGATGAAATGCATGTATGTGTGAATTTGTGTGTGAATATATTCAATCAGGATAATCGGATGTGTTTGTTGTTATTAAGATCAAACTCTGTAGATCGATCTATTTGTGCATTGTGTTCTTCGTAATGGTTCCTCATTTTTTCGTCATTGATGAATGTGATACTCTCATAAGAACATATTGTGTGTGTTTGTGTGCTATTTGATGATCGAACTGAGGTTATTGATTATCTTCACTGTTAATTCGTTTCCTGTATCTGATTTTGTGCATTATGTTCCATTTTTGTTAGTGTTGATATTCATCATTGTTATATGCATTAGGCTTTTGTACTGTACAAATGTTCATTTCGCTTCAGTCCGTTTGCAAATCATACTTTTCGTGGTGCATTTTGAAATTTTTCCAACTCAAAGACACACATATCTTGTCTTAGAGCCGGCTGAATGTATTTTTTTTTCTTCAAATGGTGATATCACTAATAGAGACAAATTCTTTTAAAAACATAATAAATATAAAATTAACCACATAACCTTATAATTTTTACACTATGACGGATAAATAAAACGGTAACCCGTGCCACCTTATCCAATAATGGGTCCACCTCTGTCTTGTCTTGGTTCTACAAACACAAATAATTACTTAACCACATGTTAAGTAAGAAAATTTGGGGTCTGGTTATATATGCTTTAACCCGTTTATAATGTTTTTGACTTTTACCTTTTTAGCTAATTTGACTAGTTCTAGCTCTTGAATAATGATTATATTTAAATATAATACATGTGATAAACTTTTATTATTTGATTTATTAATTACTTGTCCAGTCAATCTATAGTCTTAGGGGCCGGTCGTTTACTAAACGCTTACTTGGTAAGTGAAGATTACGACTCTTACCCACGTAAGCGCTTAACCGATAAATTGTTGCATTCAATACGTTTTGACGTACTAAAATCTTACTCATTAAAATAAATTGTAGTGTTGACTCCTACAGATAATCATTTACCGGATAAGTATTTGGGTAAAGAACCCTTTAGTATAAGTATAACAATACCATTAAAAAATTTAAAACAATCTTGTTTAAAAGCAGTTATCATAGTGTGTTACCTTTAATTTAATCATGATGGAGGATATTCGGTATTTAATATAGTCACAAATGAAACTTGCACGGACACGTATCTATGACCTTAATGGTAGATAATTTTCCTTCCTATCAAACTTTCCTTTTATTATTATTATTATTATTATCTATTCAAATATAGAAATCGAGATGGAATTTGAATAACGTAATAACATAAAGGTAGGATCCTAATTTTCTTCAACTTGATTTTAAAAAATTAACGAATATGTAGCAACAAGTGAAGGAATATGTCCTCTTATCTTGTTGTTTTATTTTTATAATAGCTTAATATGTCCGCACTATTCTTATCCATATATATATATATATATATATATATATATATATATATATATATATGAACCCTCTTAAAAGTATATTTTGAAAATGTTTATATATCTTTCTTGTAAAAATAATTAACAATTGATTTTAAGGGTTGAGTTTCACGTGAAACCAGTCTGTTTTCGTGAGACCCATAAGATCAAATTTTTAGACTTGAAATTTCACAACAGAACGTTGTGAAGGTAAAAAAAGCGAAACTTTTACACTAAAAAAACTGTGAAGGTTATCTTAAAAACGTTTTGTTGTAAACTTTCAAGTGTAAAAAGATAATCTTACGGATCTCATGAAAACATGTTGGTCTTAGTGATCGCAAACGTTGACATTAAACTTAGATTCACATTTAAAGTTACTAAATATTTATCATTAATTAAGATTTTTAATGGAGAAATTTGTTTGAGCTATTTAAAACATCAATAATTGATATTGATAACGATGGAAAATTATGGGGAGGCTAATGGCACCCCTAAAGCTAGTTTAGTATTATTGTTTTTAGTGTCTTTTTGTCTTTTTTTTATTTTCATGTTTTGTTTTATTGTTATTTTAATTTATTTTTAAAGAAATTTTAATTTAATATAATTTTTTTCCTGTTTATTTATATTATATTTTGATTAATACAAATCATAATAAATA